TGAATTACTAAGGGTTACCATTTACATACATGCAATGCTTTAACTATTTGAGTGATGGTATTAATTGCACAGATCGATTATTAATTGATTATGATGAATAGTTTATACATAAATGGTAGCCTTCAGTATTTGCACCAGCATAAGCATTTAATTCAGATAAAACAAACATCCAAGATTAAAAAAACACTAGTGCAGTGACAATTAGAGTTAGGTGCATAAAATAATATTATACTATCACACTAATGATTGTTAGATATACGAGTGTAACATACCTTATGTCTTGAAGTCGTCTTGGAGACTTTTGATCTGTCACTGCAACACTGATATTTACACCACATCACATCAGAGGTGGAGTCACCTGTTTGGCTGGTTATCTTTGTTAAATCATGCAGGTCTGACATTCACTTACTAGAAATGACCTTCCCTCCTCAAGTGATTCATTGTAAATAGATACACCTCAAACTGTTTCTATTGATTTATTCTTTATGGTCCTGTGTAAGTCAGTATATGGTTTAAATACTACATGAGCTCTGCAAGTAAATGAATTGAATGAATGAATTCACTGAATAAAGTCTGTTTATGAACTATAGAGTGACAATGCAAGAAGAAGACCAAACCAACACCTCAGCAAATCATCATCACCATCATTGTTTTTGTTTACCTCTTTGAAACTCTTTACCTCTTTTATTCTGCTCTTTTTTTAAATCTCTTTTATTTGACTTGAAAGTTGTTTTTAGCAGTGCTTTGTGATTTTAAATAAATTCATTCTATTACTGCTGTCCTTGAATCTGCCTCTGTGTGAAATGTGCTTTTTAAATAAAACTGCTGTGAGAATATTATTGTTGGTTAAAAAAAATAAAACAATTAAGTTGAACAATGTCATTTCTTCAAACTTCGTTGATGTGATTAGAACTGAAGATGATTTCCAGGAGAAGGGTGTGTACGTAATTTTAATTTGCCTGTTTCCATTTAACATTGCATTGACAGAGAAAACTGTTTTCACCAAAGAAGAAAAGTACAGGTACAGGTTGTTCTTTTGTTCTTTTGTCTTTTTTCATCATGATTACAGGGCACTTGCCGAACTTGCTGTGCTGGTGATGGAATGTGCTTGTTGTTTGTGGCTGTTGCATTGTTTGATGAATATCAAGTTCAAGCATTCAAAGACCTCATAAGGGAGTTCAGTAAATTACGACAGCGTAAGTTAAATAGAGTCAGAGTAGAACTCAGTCATTTCTGCTGTATTAATAATCCAAAAAGTGGATTTCCAGGGAACAACTGGTGGTTCACAAGGTTAAAGAGGAGAATCACATTAAAGTTAATGGGAAACAAGACTTCAGTCAACTTATCAGGTCAGACCTTCACTCTGGTGCATGAAGCAACAGTTTGTAAACTATGGGGGTCAAAGGTCAGTCACAGCAGAACGTCCCGAGAAAACACTGGATTATTTTTATGTTAAGATGGCACCGTTTGTTTGGGACTGTCTGTTCTGTTTGCTTCCGTCTCTGTTTCTGTTCCTGCTGAGTCTCGTCCTTCGCTGGCTCAGAGCACGCTGTCGGTCGGGATGGGCGTCTGTGACTAAAGAAGAACCTTCACTCATCTGCAAAACCTCTGCGCTGGCCAAATATCTGCTCCGCCACTGTGGCTCTCTGGCCAGGCCGAGACCGGCTGCATGGCCCAGGGGAGACCCCCACCTCCAGACCCTGTCTGGTCTGCTGTGTGGACCACAAGGAGACACAGTAGAGTTCACCAGGGACAATCTGTTACTGAGAGACGGGGGGATAGTAGCTGTGGACTGGGCTCTGGAGACAGGACTGGGTGGGAGGATTGGGAGGGGGAGGTGGGAGGGGAGGAAGGAGCATCAGTTGGGGGGAAAGGCGCTGGGTTGCTTCACCTCGACCCCTCCTGTCCTTCTCCTCATCCCTCATTCATGGGGAGGGGTGAGCCCTCACTTGAAGGCCCTGTGCCATCAGGCCATCCGTCAGGGCTTTTACGTGGTGGTGTTTCACCCTCGGGCCACAGCAGGGTGCCCACTGACCACAGCACGACTCACTGAGTTTGGAGACCCGGCTGATCTTGAGCAGGTAAAGATTGATTCAGTTTATCTTCCAGTCAAAGTTATATTTTATGCAAACTTTTAATGAATTCCCCCAAACTGAGATGTGGTCACTTTGTTGTAACAAGTAACATCAAAGCAAAAACAGGTATTCACCAAAGTCTGAAAAAATGAATCGTCTGGAAATCATAAATGTCCATGTTCATTTTAATTCAATCAATCTGATTTGATCAATTTAAACACTTTACATTCAAGAACAATATAAACAAATCCCACACCTGCATCCATGCAAACAGAAAAACATACTAACTGAAACGGAGCAAATGCGATTACAAACCCTCACAAAAAAACAAAACAAAGATTGAATGTTAAAATAAAATATGTTAATATGGGGAGAAGTGAATGATGAAATAATAAAATGGAAAAAAAATTATATAAAAGGAAAAAGATAAACCAATACAATGCTAAAAGAGATAAAAAAAAGTAAAATAAATAAAATGGAATAAAAGGATATATCTGTAAAACAGTTTAAAAACGTAGGTTTTAAATTTGCTTTTTTAAATATTCACATTCTGTGCTGTTTCAGAGACTTAGTGAGAAAAGGATGCCTCATTGTGTTTTATTCTAAATTAGAATATTATTAAAAGGCCACTATCAGTAGACCTGAGGGTTCAACAGGTAAAACTTAATTTAAATTCATTAAACTTGTCTTATTTGTATCTACACTGGCTCCACATCCGCTACAGGACTCTTTAAATCACGAGTTCCAGGATTCAGGTTAAAACAACAAGGGATCATGTTTTTATTTTTATGGTTTTAGCTCCAACACTATTTTTAATATATTTATATTTTTCAATTTTTTTAAAATGTTATTCTTTTATCTGTTTTGTGTTATTGCATTTCTTAGCATGATCTGGCTTTTTTACACTACTATTTTATTATGTGAGGCGCTATAAAACTTGTTTGTCTGCACTGATTTAACTGACATGATGATACATTGATTTCTTTTCATTTCCAGGCATTGGCCTACGTCCACAGCCGCCACCCGTCCTCTGAGCTGGTGGCAGTGAGTGAGGGTTCGGGTTCAGGAGTCCTTCTCTCATACCTGGGGGAATGTGGATCGAGCACATACCTGACTGCAGCTGCTGCCATCTCACCTGTGCTCCTGGGCCAGCTGTGGTTCAAAACGGCCATGCCTGCCATTTATCGCTGGGGAGTGCTGTTGAAGCGGAAACTGCAGCTGAGAAGGTAATAAAAAAAATGTGTGACACTGATATGAATATAGACATGATCATAACCTTTATTTCTCACATGGCTCTGGTGTAAGATACGCAAATTCCTTCAGAGGAGTCGTGGATGTGGACCGGGTCCTCAGCTCTTCCTCCCTGAGAGACTTTGAAGAAACTCTATTCTGCTCTTCAGCCCAGCTTCCGGAGAAGCCTCCAGTCAACCCTCAAAACAACTCTGGACTGAGGTCAAGACCTCATTATGAGGGGGAGGTGGCTCCCTCAGTGGCCTGGGCACTGGGGGAAAGGGCTCAGCCAGCTGAGGACTGGGACAGCTACTGGGAGAGGAACGAACCCCTGAGAGATGCAGATGAAGTGGCCGTCCCTGTGCTCTGCATCTGCAGCCGCGACGACCCTCTCCTCCCTCCTGCCTCCACTATACCCATCGCCCTTTTCCAGAGCAATCCCCACTTCTTTCTGGTGTTGACAGACAAAGGAGGGCACTGTGGATTCACTCAAGAACAGGAGGAGATGGAGGGAGGGAAGGATGAAAATAAGGAGGTGGAGGAAGGAAGCTGGAGTCACATCGCAGTTCTGGAGTACTTCAGAGTTGTGGCTGATTTCCTAAGAGGGGAGAGGATGGATGGAACAAGCTGGGGTGGTCCACTGGGGGAAGACATCCAGGCTGGGCAGAGGAACAGGGGCAGTAACACGGCCCTTCTCCGCAGGAGGAGAGCCACCGTGATGAGGAGATCAAGACCTCGGGCACCAGAACAGAGCAGCGTGGATGCAGAAAGAGAGAACTTCACCTGGAAAAGGTCCTATACACGCTGAGGACGAAGATGGTGGAGGATTAGAAAGATTCTATCGACTTTTGGACTTTGTCAATCAAACATCTGGAAGATAAAAGCAGCATGGGAATGGACAGCTGTTGGAAAAAAATATTTTCTTCTTCATTGATCATGTGGATATTTGGTTAAGATAAACATTGGTAGGGGTTGGAATCACAAGATAACCTATGATACAACATGCAATACATGGTCCACGATAACATCACGATGCAGCAGCTCTGCAATAATAATGCACGAAATAATGATACATCACAAAAAAATACTAAATGCCCCTAAAGAGTTTCACTGCAGGATTCGTATGTTTATTCACTGCAATTTGGTGTCAGTTTCAGAGTTTTACACAAACTGAGATGAAACAAGCGACAAAAAAAGTTTAATCTTAGTGCCTCTTTAGTCTTTAACAAGCACACTGTCACCTCACAGATGCCATTATTCAGATGTAAAATAACCATAACCCATAATATTGATATTTGGCCCCAGCATATTGATAATATCATGAGTAAGGACAATAATATATTGCAGAATCTGTATTTTATCCCACCCCACCACTTTGTACGTATCGAACCATCATGTTTCCAGGGAGTGTAGCTCGGAGCCACTGAAAAAAAGTCAATAAAGAAAAAGGTTTTTAAAGCTTTAAATACTTTTACTGTCTCATGCTCCTCACACACAAAACACCATAGGACAACGAAATATTAAAATTACTTTATTACAGATGATTCTTTATCCAGTAGCCCTCTTCCAACAAAAAATAGTAATTACAAACAAAATATTACATTTATCCCCTAAACTTTGTTTCTGAATTTCTTTTATACATTTTAAATCACTTTGTCATCTGTAAGGAATAGCTTTTCTCTTCTGCTATGCGACATTCAGCTTTTTGCACAATCTATACAATTTAATACAGTTTAATACAGGTCTCTGGACCAGGGAGAATTAAACAGCAAGATCCACCAAATGACAGGAGAGATAAAAGAAATACTGATCAACAGACTGTACAGAAATGACCCTGCCTACCGCCTACTCTCAGCCAATGGCAGCCATCCCTCAGCACCCTGAGGGGGGGGGAATCACAGTACACATTTAATCTGGTCAATCACTTGTGCAATCAGTGCAACTGATCCAGTTCAGAGTGACCAAGGTCTAAAGCTAGACTCTGCCCCAACTGCCTCAAAACACACAACTGGGACTTCTAGTAAACACAAGAGAAATCTAAAAGTCTGCCACTGGTTTGGCTGCTGACATCAGCTGGAAAAGAAAACGACCCTTTCTGGTGTTAAAGGAAATAAAATCTCTAAGGAGCTGGAAAAATAAAAGTTGGTAAAATATGTTGGGTACAATGGCGTACTGGCTGAAGAAAGAAGTGGGGACACTTTTTCTCTGTGCCATTAAAAAACAACAGGATTGTAAATTGTGAGTTCAGGGAGGTAAGATTTTTAAAAAAGGCAAATACTTTTAAGTGCAGTGTGAAAATGCTTTGTGTAAAACCAGAACAGAAGCTGGAACACGCTTCATAAGTCAGACGCTCAAGTTCAAATCATATCAGTGGATCCCACAACACCTAAGAGTAACTCTTTGTAGATATCAAACTACAGATATATTTTCACTGTCTTGTGCAAGAACTTGTCAGGTTGTGGAGTGCACCAAATGTTGTTTATGCAGCCAAATGTTACAGAACTGAGCCGCTTTTAGGACATTCTTTATTTTCTATGTCACTGTGATCTCGACCTAAAAACCACGAAGAACCTAAGTAGACAGCTTGAGTCTTCTATACTGGGTACTGTAATGTCAGTAAAATATAGCCCATGCTAAATCAAAGGCTACACCTAACTAGATTTCAAATGATGTGCAAAATTATCCTCATTCAGCATCAAACAAAAAAAGGTCGCCGTTACCCTCGAGTCCAAGAGTTGAACTGTTGTCATTCACAACAGAATATCTGTAACCATCTCAGAACCGGTGGCTCCAAGTAAGACAGTGAAAACCCAGCGGCTGTAAAACACTTAAAAACCGCTGGTCTAAAACCACGTCACTGTGTCCGCATCACAACAAGTTAATTTGTCTTTGATTTGTTAATTGTGATTTCCATATTTTCAAATTCAAAATATACAATATTAACAGGTTTCCTGTACATTCCACCTCTGAAGATAATATAATGCATAATCTCTGCATTTCCCAATAAGACTCCCACCTTTATCTCCAT